TGCACGTTCTACGTGGTCAGTCATCCAAATAGCGTCAAATTTGTATCCGCCCACAAGTGTTGCCAATAGTTTTGGTCATTGGTTGGACGGTATTCCAAATAGGTTCAAAACGCTAATAAGGGTGGGAGCGTATGCCTTAATGTGGTCGCTATGGCTATGTAGAAATGATTTGGTTTTTAATGACAAAAATGCTTCTCCTCTACAGGTTATTTTCCGGTGTACGCACTCGCTTCGTACGTGGTCTATACTACAGCGAGCGGAGTACCAACCACTGTTCAAGGCGGTGTGTACGCGATTGGAGCAGGTGGCTACAGAGGTTTTTTCCCAACATGGGTGGCAGCATAACCTCCGGATTTACCCACCACCACTTTCGACATAGGCATATATAGTGCCGGTCTATAGGACTCTACTGTTGCCGTTTTGTCGATTTTGATTCTTTTCTTTCTGTCAAACTTTTTAGAATTGGCTGTGTGCATCTTAGTTATGCAGAGGCCGGGTGTCACTCATAATGCTTTGTATCCGCTTGATGCTACATTTTTGAGTTAATAAAATGCCCTTTATCGAAAAATGAAATAACTTTAAAACCTTTGCATTTGCATTTGCATTACTCACAGCCCAATGTGGCAATGATCTAAACTTGCAGGACAACATATAGAGTTTTGTAAGCAGTGATCTATATGCCGATGATGAGATAAAAGAAAATGTGAGAAGTTGTCTGTAGAGAAAGCAAGTACAGAGATAAAAGTATAACTTGTCGTCTATAACATGATTATATGAGCATTAAGAGGTTAATTAGCATATGCAATTTGGTAGCTTGCCGTAGGTGATTACGCAAATGTTAATTAGCGTACCTGTTGAGGGAGTATCTGCGTGAGTGCCAACCACATCAACATACCTGGATGTGTTCGGGTCCTGATGAATCCATCTAGCGTATCAAAAACCAATATCAGCAGGAGAGTAAAACACAAAGGAGGTGGTCCAGCATCGCCTCGATAGGAGTAGCAAAATCTTACGGCCGTGGTCCAGCATGGGAGAGAGAAAAGGCGGAGGACCCTGAGTTGCCCGCGGCTGCAGCAGCTTTAGGCCCTTCCCAATGCTCTAAGGTGTACCGGTGCTAAGGGTGCCACATAGGCAAAAAAGTGATGTGGCAGAGCAATTAAAGAGGAAAGAGAGTATTATGGTGATCCCATGAGGAAATGGTGCTAAGCGCGTGGACCTATGCAAAATAAGTATTAACCAATGCATGAAGGTGTTTTGGAGTTAAAACGTTAAATGAGGAAGGCTTAGCTACAAATGTTAAGCACCAATGCATTGGGGAGAGTGGTTGCTAAGCTCTTTAATGCCTTTAGCACCCCACCTTAGCACCAATGCATTGGAAGAGGCCTTAGCATAAGGAGGGGAGAGATCAGGAGAGATTGATAATTATTTAGGGTTCTTTTCTTGGTTTATAAAAAAATAAACGAACGGTTGGGCCTATAATTAGTGATAGAACCTTGTTTTAGGTGGATTCTACTTGTAGAACGGACGACGATTGTGAGCCTTGGAATTTTTTTTTGACAAATGATAATTAGATGGGTCAATCTACACCGTAATAATTCGGTCCCACTAAATTAATGGCTCGTAAAATCTAATTAACATCGTAATTTTTTGAGAGTCTCTAATTAATATTGGTATAGACAGATAGATAGATAGATTAAATGACCTGGCATGCATGTTTATCCTAGTTGATTCTGCAGGTGACCCATGTTGCCCAACTCGAGCGGCACCCTAAACTTGTTGATGAGGGTGCCGTTGGAGTTGGCCAACATGGGGTCACCTGAAGCCTATCTGTCGCCATGTAGGTGACGAGACCCTTCACGTACCCACCGTGGTCATCACTGGCACCACCTCGTGCAGCCGTCGTGGAGGAGGTCCTGGGCGCGGCGGACGGAAGCACGCACATCACCTCGGTCGCCATAGCCTGCATGCGTTGTGGGCACATCACCTTGGCCCCTGTGATGGCGGTGGCCCAGACGACCAATAATATTTTAGAAAAATTATATACATTTTATATTACTGAAAAACCAAATGTTTTTCAAATTCAAGATTTTTTTATTGGTGAAAAATTAGTAACCATTTTTTCGTGTTTTTTTACCTTTTTTCCAGCAGTGAGCTAGAGAAAAAATAAAAGAGTGGGGGCGAGAGAACAAGACAGACAGGAAAAAATAGCTATATCTACCACAAGACCCCTAGGAACAGCATAAACAGTGCTAACCAACCGGGCACATTAGTTGTTGACATTTTTTTTCTTTTGTCTCTTCTTCAATAAAGCTAGAAAAAAATCATTGGTTTTCCTCCTTCCGGTATTATTTTATCCGTTTTGTTTTGGCCAGTTTTTCCTCAAATTTTACAGTTTTCCATTTTCCATTTTTGTTTTATTTTGAAAATTCTTCCATTTCGTAAATTTGCTAAGTTTTTCAACATCTGGTCCTTTCTTCAAGTTTGTGAATTTTTAATTGAAGTCTGCGAACATGTTCTCAAAACACATTAATTGATTTTCAAATTCGTGAATTTTATCCTAAAGTTGATAAATAAATTTTTTGAAAGTCCATGAACCTTTTAAAAAATGAATGAAATATTTTATAATATGTGAACATTTTGATGAACATTTCGAAAAATGGAAAACTTTTTTTGTCAAATGTTTGTACTTTTAAAAAATGGATGAAAAATTTCAAATTGATGAACTTTTTCCTAAACTAATGAACTCTTTTTCATATTCCAAAATCGATGAGTGTATTTGAACTTTTATTAAGTTTTTCCAAATTCGATAAATTTTTCTTCCGTTTGTAAACTTTTTTCTCAAAACCTATTAACTTTTCTCAAATTCATGATCTTATTTTATTTTTTCATTTTTTCTTCACATTTCTGAACTTATTTCAATTTTTTTTTAAATTTTCGGAATTCACAGAAAAAACATTTTCGTGAGAATTTTTCAACATCTGTGAATATTTTTTTAAAATTTTTGTAAATGTTTCCAAAATTCAGCAATCATGCAATCAAAGGTCAACTTCATTGACTGAGGGTTGGTCGGGGAACGAGTGATCTGTACGGTATTTTTGTTTTGTTTTGAGAAAGTGCGACCTGTACGTGAAATACGGAGGTGTCTTCAGGCATGAACTGAACAAACCGGCGCGGTGGAACCATACTTCTCGACTGCAGTATCCCCCCATTAATAGAGCGTTTTTTTTCTTTGTTCTTCATACGCAAATTGGGTTCAGTGTGCGGTTTCACTCCTGTTTTTTTTTCTTTGTTCTTGTTTTCGTTGTTTCTGTGGTGCAGCTCAGCTTCTGTTTTTCTTTTCTTTTCCTACTTTTATTCTTACAGCTCTTATATGATTTGTTTCCTTCTTTTTTTGCTTTCATGTTACTGGTGCTCCCATTTTTATTTTATTTTTTCAATGTTTCTGGTTTGTTTTGTTAGAAGAATGGGATTATTTTTAAAACCGTGATTCCTTCTAACTTTGTATGTGTTTAAAATACACGATGATCATTTCTTTAATACATGATGAACATTGTTTCATACATGATGAATTTTTGTAAAATACAAGATGAAAATGTTCTAAATATACAAAAAGTATTTTAATGCACGATGGACATATTTTAGTAACCGATGAAATTTTGAAGTGCACGATGAATATTTAAAACACATGGTAAAGATGTTTTAATACATGGCGACCAAATTGAAATATATGATGAATACTAATCCACGATGAAGCTCTAAAACACAATATAAAATTTTTAATAGAAAAAACATTTAATGAATAAAACAATCAATTGCACAATTAACATTTTTCAATATGGGATGAACATATTTAATGCATGCTCAACAAATTTGAGTACAACATAAACATTATTAATCTAAGATGAATATTTTTTAAATACAAGATAAGAATGTTATGGATAAACTTGATAAAATAAAATTAATTTTCTCAACCAGTTGAAAAATCGTTTCTAAAAGGCCAATACTATAACAAAAAGTGTTCTCTGAACCAACTAGTGCGGTTGCTGGCACTGGCTCGCCGGCCCATGTGTAAAGTGCTCTGAAGATCGAGTTATCGACGACCACATTGCGTGAGAGCTATATCTCCATTTAACAGAGATGGAAGCAGGCAAAACCTATTTGGTTTCGCAGGCGCTGATTTCTTTGGTTTTCTGCTAACCGGCGCCTACAGCCGCTTTAACTGGGCTCGGCCCATTATTGTTTGTTTTCCATGTCTTAATTCGCAAAAAGAGCACCGTTTGTAGATCGAAAACGAGACCTCCACGCCAACGACTTGGATCTGATAGTATTTATCTTTCTCGTCTTTTATTCGTTCCTTTTTCTTCTTTTTCGTTTTTCGTTTTTTCGTTTGTCGTTTTTCGTTTTTTTCATTTTTCGTTTTCTGTCTTTTCTTCTTCTTACAGGTTCGATCAACTATTCACAAATACGTGAATGTTTTCTTCAAATCACTGATTTCTTTTAAAATTTGATGAACTTTTTTCAAATCGATGAACTTTTTTTCGAAATCAATGAATTTTTTTCAAATCGATGAACACACGATATAACCAATGCTAACACAATATCACGGGAACAAGGGGACAGCGGACGTCATGTTCCAGTGCTCGGGTGGCTGGTGTGCTGTATTGTGACGGTGTCATAGGGTAGAGCGTCCATAATCAGACCCCGGGGATGTGCTAGCAATTTACTCTCTCTCTCTCTCTCTCTCTCTCTCTCTCTACTTGCTGATGTTCTTACAACAACATCTCGGCGCAGTATAGCCAAATTAAGGCTTCAGAACAAGGATCAGAGGGCATGCGTGATTAGTAAGGTACAAATCTGAGATACTAGTGTTATCCATCAACAGGAAACTAAGTTCACATTTATTCATGACCCATGCATCTCGCAGAGGCACATACACCATTACTTAATTTTATTTATCTTGTGCGCACGCACCGCACCAATTAAGATGCAGATTCGCTTGACTAGACGTCCGGATACGCCGCCCAGTAGCAGACACCTGCTCCGTCTCCCGACGGGTTGGGAATGGGCACCTTGCAGACCTCAGGCACGCTCGCCGCCGTGAGCTTCATCACCTCCTTTCGACAACCTGGGAGCACCTCCTTTCCCTCACGCACGCCGAGTTCCTGATACACACTGCGCAACATGCTGCTGAGGTCCCCGCACCTGCACCACTCGTTGTTGATGTCGGCGAGCTGCTGGCAGCAATCTCTTAGGACAGCCTCGGGCACCTGACTGCCCACACACTGGAGCTTCACCATTGCCCGGCAGCCCGTGAGCGCGCTCACCTTGTAGCCCGTGGCCGGATCGCACCAACTCCAAGGACCACTGTTATGACTCCTTGCACCGTACTCGACCGCCATTGTTGTCGCCACGAGCATGAATAGTAGGAGCCCCCAGAACACGGTCTTCATCAACATTGTTTCAATTTAGTACTATCTTAATCAGCTGTCTATACGGGTAGCTACAATTTTGATTTCTGGACGGCTTATATAGCGAGAGAAAGCTAAAGAGGTGTTCATGATCTCCGTGGGTGGCTTGCGCGTGGTGCCACTGTGCCAGGCTGCCAGCGGCGTTTGCTTGCATGCCTCCGTTCTCGATCTAGCCCCGTGAGGTATTTTGTCATACTTGGCAACTTTGTGATTACAACTCATAGTTTGTTAGTCTAACTACTAAAAAGTTAGCATACATGGTTACCATATCGACAAAATTAGCTACATCCTTTGTCCATATACAGTATATATATAGCAAGGAAAATGCAATGGGGTGCAAAGAACGGACATAAAACCCCAGCTATCCATCACCCCATGTGCATGAGTGGCTTGTGGGCTTTGTATATATTATACATGCTGACACGTTACAATTAACTTTCTTCCAACTTCCAAGAGTATCATCAGGATCTGTTCACAAAATTGGAAGCTTTCTGAGTGTTCAGTGAAACCCACAATTTGTTGGCGGATCCTAAATTAATTCATACGAACAAAATTAGCAATGCAATTAATTTTGTTGGCAAGGTACGTGTGCGCATTGCGTGAGGACAACATTAGTATGTCACAATTATTTCCCCACGGGATAAAGTTCATTTCGGTACGGGGTGGAAAAAAAACTGTTGCATATCAAATAGTATATGAAATATTTCTATTTAATTGTATGTCACATTTCTTTCCCCACAAGATTAAGTACATTTCAGTAAAGGGTGGGAGATGCGCGGAACTAGGTAGTAGTACTTACTTTCGGGTTGTAAATCGCAGCTCCGTCGGCAGTCCCGGAACCATTCCGATGAACTCTTTCCAAACCGTGCAAGACAAAGAAAATAATTACTTAATATCAGGAAATGAACAAAGTTGCCAATATGGTGCAATAATGATCGATTGAACTTACTTCTGGAGCATTTTGAGTCATGTCCGCATAGTCCTCTGGATCTTTTCGTCCCGAGTCTAAGATGGTTACTAATCCCCGCTCAAGCTTAATCTGTAGGAGAATAAAGTGGAACCTGCGCACGCTTGCATAACTCATCAGTTACATTACTATAACCTCTACTAATAAGGGAAACCGAATATGCACAAGACAGTAACACTCACTTGAAGTTGCAGCCAACCCGACGCAGCCGGGGACGAGGCCGACGTAGATCGGCGGGCGGGGCGGCGCGCGTGGGGCCGCTGTGATGGGTCACCGCATGGTGCGAGGCCGCCGGGTCAGGGTGATGTAGGAGCCCCGGTGGGAGCAGGGCGGTGACGGCCGGCGCAGGGCGATGGGTGGGCCGATGCGCGGACGGCGGCTGGCCCTGACAGGCCGCCTAGGCGCATGTGGCAGCCGGGTCAGAGGAGAGGCCAGCTGGTCGCATCGGGGTCGAAGCAGAGGCGCGCAGAGGTCGACAGCGCGACGCAACCAAATCG